ACTCTTAAACACGCTTTCAAAGTATTCCTTCCATCTCTTTAAATTCGAAACTTCATCATTCAGCATGCAGCCATTCTCGTCTCGTATAGCATTTATTCTAGGCTGTTTTGAATTTCCCCTGGCAGTTCTTACGAGCTTCCAGAACAATATTTCAATATATGTCGTCCAAAAATATTAAAAATAAATATCGATATTTCTAAATAATAAAATAGATTTTTCGATATATCGATATTTCATCAACAGTCCTAGTTAAGACGTGGGGCGTGGCCATGGGCGTTTGGTTCGCGTGACTCCTATAAAATATCATATATATAGATAAATTAAACGATATATAATAATATCTAAATGTTATTTAATATCATTTTCTTTCCATTAATATATATCTATACAAATAAATTTTGTTTGAAGTGAAGTGTCTATTTGTAATGTCAAAAATAACAGTTTTTTATTAAATTCATATGAAAGTACATACGGTACTTATAACAAAAACACAATTTTAAAAATCTTTGTCTGTCTTTCTTTCTATTTGTCTGTCTGTCTGTTTTGTTCCGGCTAATCTCCGAATTGGCTGAACCGATTTTGACGAGACTTTCAGTGGCAGATAACTGATATATGGAGGAACTTGAAGAATTAGGGTTCCATTGAAATCCAATCGTAATAAATTATGAAGTCGCCGGGAACAGCTAGTTAATAGATAGGAAATGATATTTTTAATTTATAGGAGTCACGCCAACTAAACGCGCACGGCTGCGGCTCCATCGATCAAGAGATGAAATCCGTTCCGTATATATGTATATATACATATATATATATATATATATATATATATAAATAACGTTTCCTATATATTAACACTTCAAAAGATATTTTTATTCATGAGTAGATGAACACATCAGTATTAAGACACTTTTAAGAAATGGGTCAGATATTATGATAATTTTATTCATTATGGTAAATTTTATTTATTTAATAAATGTGTTCTTTATTTTTATCTGTTTATTAAATTACCTATCTGTAGAGCGGGCGACACCCCACTGATAAAAAATCCGTGGGCATGGGCACATTCTGAAGGTCTTATGATGATCAAATGAGCCCAAACACAATGGTGTTTCGTAGTGGCATAACTGAGATCTTTTACCCCACCTTCTTTGTCCACTAAGACCTTTGAACTAGGTCTTTATTCTTCTTCTTCTTCTTCTAGTGCCTCTCCGACTAGCGAAGGTTTTTTAGGAAAATTTAACCTCTATCCTGGTCACGGCACCAAATTGTAACGACCCCCCCCCCCCCTCTTTACTTTCTTCTCTCTTTTCTTCTATATATACTTATACTTGTATTTCTTTAGGATCTATATCTATAAGATATATAAATATATCAAATTTACGTCACCAGTATATTAATCATACATTGATCTTTCTAAAGCAGTGATGCACAGACTTATTAAGACTAGGGGCCACTCGGGCAAATTATGAACTGATGGCGGGCCGCCAGAAGTATAGGTAATTAAAGACAATAAAGAATTGATAATAATGTATTAAAATTGAAAAAGAATTTATTAATTTGAAGCGTGGCACTGCATAGTGCTTACAATCTTTTTTATATTTGGCTCAAATTTACTTGTTGTAAAGCTACACGTAAAACTGCTTCCAAACTTTCATTTGCAAGGCGGTTTCGATTTTTTGTTTTATTATTATTTAGTATTGAAAAGGTTTGTTCACATATATAGGTAGAACCAAATAAGCTGGCACATTTCAGAGCGTTTATGCGCTACTCTTTGTACGTATCTTTATTAATGCAGCGGTAAAAGTTCAGCAAGTCTCCTTCGTTGAATTTGTTGTGTAAATCTTGGTCGTTTTGAATGTCGATAATTTCTAACTGCATTGACTCTGGCGCATTTTCAACTGAAATCGTGAAAGGATTGCTGAATATGTCCAACAGAGGTTTCACTTTTTTAAACTCCGAAAATCTGTCTTGAAAAGATTGAATCAAAATATCTAGCTTTTCTACATATCTGAAATTTAATCGCAGTTTTGTTGAATTTTTCAGCCATTTTCTTATAATTCGGAAAATGATTGTAATTTCCAGAATTCAATTGCGATCTGAAAAGTGTCAGCTTGCATTGAAAGGATGATACATGCGCGTAGAGCTGGGATATCAGTTGATTTTTGCCGTGTGTTCAAGACATTCAAATGATTTGTAATATCAACTATAAAAGCCAAATCACACAACCAATCAGGATTTTTAAGTTCCGGGACATCCCTTTGATTTTCCTCCAGAAATATTCCAATTTCTTCTATTAAATTTAGAAATCGTTCCAGTGTCAATCCACGACTTAGCCACCTTACTTCTGTATAATACAGTAAATCTCCATATTCGCTTTCGATGTCATCAAGGAATTGTTTGAATTGCCTGTGATTGAGTCGTCGTGATTTTATGAAATTTACAGTCGAAACTACTATTTTATTACTATTTTATTAATATTTTTTAGAACAGAGAGCTTCTTGGTGTATAATGCAGTGAAACTGCATGAGATCTTCAGCGTTTATGTTTTTTTCTTGCAGATGCTTCTGGACACATTTTCTTAGCGGCAATTTCTATGCATTCTTTTACAAAATCCCCATCATTGAAGGGGGGCGACTTCGCTTTGCTATCATTCGAGAAATTTCATAACTAACTTCTGTAGCTGTTTTTGAATCTTGAATGGGTTTTGTAAACATAGCTTGCTGACCAATAAGCTCCCGTTTTAAAGACAACATTTTTTGCTTTCTTAATTTGACTGTAAACTTGGTAAAAGTAGGATGCTGCGTTTCATAGTGCCTTTTTACATTATATTCCTTTGCAATCGCAACAGAATTCTTGCAAATTAAACAAACGACTTTATTATGCGACCATACAAAAAAGTATTTCTCAGTCCAAATTTCTTGAAGCTGCCGATTTTCATCTCTAACCTTACGTTTTTTACTAGGTCCTGGCTTGTCCATGTTGCGTTCTAATCCTGGCTAGGATTAATACAGCATCTAAAAGCAATTACAGTACCTACTTAAATTACCCATCCTTTTTTAAATTACCAAAAATAATTGATGAAATAGGTAGGGAAACACTTATTAATAACAGAGTTTTACTTACGATTTCACAACACAGTTATACACGGCACTTGACGGGAAATCTACGTTGAATGCGGATCAAAATATGTGACACCGGCTAGTCGAGAAATTGATCTTCACTAGAACTATTGACACTTCACTCAAATTAAAACCAAACTGTCGGTCGCTGCGGTTAGCGTGGCTTTTATACCGCGCGTATAGAGTCGAAAACTGTCTGGAGAAATCACGAAACTCTGGAAGCTTCGTGTATCTACCTACGCGAGCAATCGGGTATTTGGGACTATTGCTATCTCGCTTGCTCTAACAATATAACCCGTGGATAAGTCGCCACCGCGCTGCCGTCGTCCCCGCGCCGCCGGCCGCGGCGGTTCCTCAAGAAAACAAATTTAACCGAGATCAGCACGAACATTGCCGAATGCCGACCGCTGTTACAGACGCATGCACGGCGCACCGATAAGCGCATTTAAGAGCGCGCGCGCGATATTCAAATTACGTAGTCCACAGCAAAGTAACGTGAGTCAAACCAAGACGCAGAGAGCGCCATTGAGAATAGCGACCCGCCAAACAACCATCGCAGAGACGCAATGCTGCAGAATGCAACAAGCATGAATACGACTATCGTCGGGCTTACACCATCCCAAGGTCCCCCATACAGTCCCAGCAGACATCACCACCCGCATACCTCCATCGACCAGAACCACAAGATGTGTCGAATCAGGTGCAGCAGATCCATCACAAGACACAATAATGCAAGTAGCAGTAAGCATCAATGCAATGCAATGCATGATCCCTATCGACTTTGGTAACAAAATTGATAATTTCGTTAACTAAAAATACCACCATCGTATCATAGTAGCACGGTACTAAGACGTCAGTAGCCAAAACTCCATGTATCATAGCGCTATTGCACTAAGACATGAAGTTGAGTATGCTTGCTGCACTTAAAAGTACTACCAAACACACTCACCCTAATCCAAAAGATAGCCGACGTATCATAACGCTATGCGTAGGTTTCGCATAGGTGTTTTTTCTTTTTTATATTCAGTATAGGGACATTGTGTTCATCTATGAGTTGGTATGTGGTCTTTTATAGCCAATAACAGAACTTATTTCCTTATGATGATTAAACGCGTCATGTTTAGCATAAAGATTCTCTACAAGCTCGCACTTCCCCTGGTAAAAAGCATTGCAGGCATAGCGGACTTCCCGTCGGATTCTCTTGTCAATCTCCGTATACTTGGTTTTATCGGAATTCTTGTAGTCTTCTTTCCTCTATAAGGTTATATATTTTTTCAGTCATCCGACTCTGTTTAGGAGCCCAGTCTCTATTTAAAAGGTTTGTATTAATTTCTCCTAATTTGGTCTTTAGTTTGTTCCATGTCTCCTCTATCATACACAGTGCCCCAGATTTCGTTTCTACTGCCCAATCATTTATTTCATTCGCCACATTCGCTTTGGTGTTACTGTCTGTAAGTTTCCTGACATCTATTTTAGGTTTTTGTGCCGGCTTCTTTACTCTTTTTAGCGTGCATGACATTGTAGCAACAACTGGGTTGTGATCAGATCTAATGTCAGCTCCAGGATACGTCTTAGTGCTTTCGATGCAATTACGAAGGCGCTTATGAATCATTATATAGTCTATTTGGTTCCTGACTATATGTTGTGGGGTGTGTTGTGGTGAGGTCCATGGATAATAGCCTTCGTGGTGGTAGCTGGACGCATGTATTCATGACGACAAAGTCATTTTCTTGGCAAAATTGAATAAGAGTGTCGCCTCTTTCGTTTCTTGCCCCAAGTACAAATTTTCCGGCCACTCCCGGGACCTCACCTTGGCCTACCTTTGCATTAAAATCACCCATCACTAGGTTTAGTTCGTGATTCTTAGTTACCTGGAGTAGCTCATCGACTTCTTTGTAAAAATCTGTAATATCTTGGTCTGAACCCCACTGAACCATCAGTGATGGGAGCGTACACTTGGATTATGTTGATGTTTCTTGCCTTAGCCTCAATTTGAAGCAGCATGGTTCGGTTTGATTTGGGTACTAAGCTCACAGTTGTATTAAGGCGTTTTGTGTTTAAGATCACTCCTACTCCGTACTTGTTGGAGGAGTCTTCATCACCAGAGTAATACATAGTATAATCTTCATCTATTATTTTCTTACTATTGCCTGTCCACAGTACTTCACTTAGTCCCAAGATATCAATTCTCAAGCGTTTCATTTCTTTGCATACGTTGTAGACTTTTTCTGGACTCCTCAAACTTCTCACATTCCATGTTCCAAATTTAATTTCTTTTGTTTGCCGCCTGGAGATTCTTAGTACCCCTGTCCCATCTAAGGGACGCCAGGAACTCGGGGCCATCATTTTCTTTAACTTTTCCATATTACTAAGCCGACAACTAGGGAATAAATAGTGCAGTGGTGTCCCGTTGCCTTCTGCACCAGACATTTAAGAGATTATTTGTATCTCAAGGCTGCTGCTTGCCTCTTCCGACCAGGATTCTAGTCGGGTGTGTATGGTTATACCGCCATTGCTCGGTCGCCAGAGCCTCGTTAGTTTTCTAGCAGGGGGCATCACGATGTTGGACATCGTCGCCAGCTGTTCGTACGAACCACTAACGCGTGCAGGTGAGATTGCATTTGGGACGGTTTAGATGGTATGCACCGTTCTCCCCTTACCCCCCCCCCCCTTTCAGGTCTTTATAAACCCTTTCAAATGAGTTCAAACACGATCGTTTTATCTAGTGCCGCCACTGAGATCTTATATCCACCTTCGGATTGCTCCATCAGAAAGGTGAGGTCATAACAGTCACCGAGGTCTTTATGAGCCCTTTCAAATGAGTTCAAACACGACCGTTCTATGTAGTGACGCCACTGAGATCCTATATCCGCCTTCGGATTGCACCATCAGAAAGATGAGGTAATAACAGTCACCTAGATCTTTATGAGCCCTTTCAAATGAGTTCTAACACGATCCTTCTGTCTAGTGCCGTCACTGAGATCCTATACCCACCTCCGGATTGCACCATCAAAAAGGTGAGGTCATAACAGTCACCTAGGTCTTTATGAGCCCATTCATATGAGTTCAAACGTGGTCTTTCTATCTAGTGTCGTCACTGAGATCCTATACCCACCTTCTGATTGCACCAACATAAAGGATATCATTACTGCCATCTAGGTCTCCATTTACCTATTTGAAAATGAGTCCAAACACGATGGTTCTACGTAGTAGCATCACTGAGATCCTTTACCCACCTTCTGAGTCCACCATAAGGAAGGTGACATCATTACAATCACCTTGGTCTCCATCCTCTGTCAAACCAACTTCTCTAAATATATATGACGGCTCCGTGGCGCAGTTGTTTAGCAATGAATTGCTGCGCTGGGGGGCGCGGGTTCGAATTCCGCACGGAACAAGTATTTTTATGGCCTACAAATAATTGTACCGGGTCTGGATGTTTGTCCTTGTTCAATTTGTGTTTGTAAACTGCCTCCACGATACAGGAGTAAATCCTAGTGTGGAAGTAACTTTCTTTTAATAAAAAAAAATATAAAATAATATAAAGTGTAAAGAGCATACAAATAATGTTATAAAATATTATAATATATAATATACAAAAGCTACTAAGAAAGCATGTACTTACCAATAATGGAAACGAACTGAAGCCAGCGGATTACGGTGCGCCCGGAAAAATACGTGGGTTGCCGTCAGTTAAAAATTTTAACTTAAGATTTCATATTCACGGTCAGTTTTTGGATGTACGTCAGTTAAACTGATCAGTTTTACTGACACCACGCCCGAATAAAATCCGTGTGTTGCCGTCAGTTAAAAATTTCAACTTAAGATTTCACATTCACGGTCAGTTTTTGGATGTACGTCAGTTAAACTGATCAGTTTAACTGACCGTGTGTGGCCACCATAATACAAAAATACGAACCTTTTGAAGAAAATGGAAAAGTTTTATATCGGAAACACACATCTACAGAATCTAGGGATATTTTATATTTCATCAAATATCTAAAAATCTATGAAGAATTTTCTGATACAGTAAATGGAACAATGATATGTCGTATTTTTTTTTGTTTCAAATAAAAATGTAAAATTTATAATTGCCGTAGAAAATTAGTATGATTAAAAAGCTTCATTTCTTATAAGACTATTAATTTTATTTAAAATTTGTTAAGATCTTATAAAATCTAATTATTAATAATCAGTATTGCCACTTCTTACAGTAATTACACATCGACATCGATTGTTCATACTTAAAGTAAAATTGTCAATGTCTTGCTGCAGTATGAGGTCCCATGTTTGTTGTTATGTTGCTTAGATAACAAATCCGCGAGAAAAAAAACAAAATAACACAAATGTAAAGGAATTCAAATTGTGACTATTTAGTTTTAATAATTATGACATGGGCCTAGCTGTCAGATTCGATGTGGCCAATGAACAGACATAAAATCGATAAATAGATAGAGATTTTTTTGTTCGATTTATAAATGATTCGCTTTAAGTTCGATCGATTTTTTTAACGAGATTTACGATTGGCAACACTTTTATTTTATCTACAAACTAATGACTTGCGAATTTACCTAATTAAATTTTTATCTTTTCGGTACTTTTTTTGTGCAAAAATATTGCAATCTTTTTGGATACATAAATATCGCGATTAATGACCATAAAAAAAGATGTATTTTTTTAACAAATGCAAATTGTTGGGCGTTCAATGGCCAGAATTGGGCATTCCCCTTTACGAGGGCTGCACTAAAAGTATCGGAAATGGAATATTTCCACTGTTCCTGTTATATTCAAATCTTTTTAATTGAAAACCCCTTGGTTTTAAAAATCGTATACCATTTATTTATTTAAAAAAAGATTCTCGGTCTTGTCACAAGGTTTTGTCAAACTTGTTTAGTCGTTGAGAAAATGGAATTGACTCGAGAAAATTCAAGAGCGATGATTTATTATGACTTTCGAAGAGGTTGAACACAAAAACAGTGTGTTGACCGGATGATTTCTGCATTTAGTGATGAAGCCCCATCCAAAACCACAATTAATCGTTGGTTTGCTGAATTTCAACGTGGACGTGTCAAGCTCAGTGATGATCCTCGTCAAGGTCGTCCAAAAACTGCAGTCACCCAAGAAAACGTTGATGTTGTGCGTAAGCTGATTTTGGAAGATCGACATGTGACATACCGCGAAATTTAGGCAACTTTAGACATTGGAATGAGTCAAATACAAATAATCTTGCATGAACAATTAGGTGTAAAAAAGTTGTTTTCCCGATGGATACCGCATTCGCTCTGTGAAGAGCAAAAAGCGGCTCGCGTTACTTGGTGCGTCAGAACTCTCGAAAGATTCCACGCAGGATCCTCAATATACAACATCGTATCAGGTGACGAATCCTGGATATACGCGTACGAACCCGAAACAAAAAACCAGTCACGAGTTTGGGTGTTCGAAAATGAGTTAAAGCCAACAAAAATTGTTCGTTCACGGAGTGTTGCAAAAAAAGGTGGCCACGTTTGTCTCCAAAACCGGCCATGTTACGACTATTCCTCTTGAGGGACAAAGAACGGTTAATGCAGAATGGTATGCCTGCATTTGTTTGCCACAGGTCGTTTCTGAACTCCGTAAAGAGAACTGCAACCGCCGCATCATCCTCCATCACGACAATGTGAGTTCTCACACCGCACACAGAACAAAAGAGTTTTTAGAGCAAGAAAACATAGAATTATTAGACCAACCGCCGTACAGCCCCGACCTAAGCCCTAATGATTTCTATACTTTCCCTAAAATAAAGAATAAATTGCGTGGACAGAGATTTTCATCACCTGAAGAAGCTGTGGACGCCTACAAAACGGCCATTTTGGAGACCCCAACTTCCGAATGGCATGGTTGCTTCAATGATTGGTTCCATCGTATGGAAAAATGTGTCAAATTTCGCGGAAAATACTTCGAAAAGCAATAAATACATTTTTAAACAGTAATGTTGTGTCACTTCCTTGATTCCCGAAATTTTCAGTGCCGCCCTCGTAACATTTGATCAAGAATAATTTTTTCAAAAATCTTACAAGTGTTGGTATTACAGAAATAGGTCTAAAATTGGCGGGGTCTAATGTACTACCAGATTTAAATAAAGGTATTACTTTACTATATAATAGTATTGTGTATTATTATCTTGTATAGCATGTTAGTATAGGATTTAATCTTATATAGAAAATATTGTAATTTATGCCGATTGTATAGTGAAAATGTTATGCAATAAAGAGGCAAAACAGACAATGGCAAGCGGCTCACTATAAAGTATAGCCGAAGTCTACCTTATGGGCTTGGGACCCAATAACGTTGTAGTAGGAAGAACTACCAGTAAGAAGCAGTTGTATCCGGTAGTAGCTGAAGTGACTAGTAGCAGAATATAGTGAACAGGGAAAGTGAAAGTGTTAGCTAGCCGAAAAAGGTCGTAACTGATATTCGCAGTTACATATAGTGAAAGTGTTAGCTAGCCGAAAACAGTGGTAACTGATATTCGCAGTTACATATAGTGAAAGTGATAGCTAATCGCAGAAAGTGGTAACTTATATCCGCAGTTACACAAGTGATAAAAATAGCTAGTTTAGTTGATAATAGCCGCTAGTCAGTAGTGTTAAGAAAACCAGCTACTACTAATAGATATTTTGATACTACCGAATAATTTAAAGAAATCTTTTGAAATATATAGTGACCAACCGATTGTGAAACCAAATTGATTTTTATGAAGGAAATTATTTATATTAAAGAAATTTAACATTTGATCAACAATAATTTTTTCAAAAATCTTACTAAGTGTTGGTAGTACAGAAATAGGTCCAAAATTGTCGGGGTCTAATGTACTACCAGATTTAAATAAAGGTATTATTTTACTCTGCTTCATTAAATCAGGAAACACGCCAGATTCGATACTAGTATTAAAATATCGATATCGATAATAACTAAATGAGGCGCGATTGTATCTATTATAGACGCAATAACTTTAACGGAAATCCCCCACAGTCAACATCAATAGCTTTAAAATATTTTACAATATCTTTTGATGATACTTTATGAAATGTAAAATTCTTTGTACATGCATTTACATTTTGTTTAAGTAATGATTCGGTTTAATTTTTTATTTAAATAATTGTACATATATCTTGATTGGGCACTTTTTTCACCCAACACAAGCATTACTACACGCTTCTTGACCGACTCTGGCCACAAAATAATGCTTGTAGACCTAAGTAAAGAAATAAACAATATTTTTATTTTATTTTTTTACTGTACTCTCAGCAAATTTAGATTTTACATAAATTTGTTTAATGACGTTATGATTCCCCAGTATTGATGTTTTTTTTGGATCATATGGC